AAAAAAATCTATACACTAAGGGGGTGGTTTTCGAGGGGGTTTGAAAAATTTATTTTGGTTTAAATTTCTGAAACTTTGGGGATAATGATTACATCGTACATGTGATACATAGGAAATAGTAAACAAATTTTAAGAATATTAAGGGAGAATTTTAGAAGGGTTGAGATATTAATTGCATTTAAAAATTGTACACTTAATTTTTAACAACAGAAACATTTCTTTCCTAGTAACAATAGGGGACGCCGGTGTCGTCGCGACTACCTGTAAATAAAGAGGTTTATATAAAAAAGGATCATTTGGCCCGGGATAGCTGGATTTTTCTGTGCTTGACCTTCAAGGTCCAAACTAAGTTACAAAAAAAAAACTTTTTTTATAATTTTCAAATTAATATCATTAGTAATTAGAATTATTGACCTTAATTGCGTCTTACAAATTCATTGATTTCTCTAAAATAACTTTCACAGTAATCGATACTATAATGAAAATAGGACATATACATACCTCCAGCTTCACAATCCATATCGAAATGTTGCTGATAGTTGAAACAAACGGATAGGAATACACAGTAAGAGCGTCGATGTTGCGGACACAACTGATTCAAGCGCAGTCGAGAGGAGGGACAATTTCTTTTTAACGGGTTGTTAAAAACATTTTAGTATACACTAGTTATGTTTTAACTCTAATAACAACTAAAAAATTGACTTTTGTCGTCCTAATTTAAACAAATGGCCCAGTGTGCGCCGCCAGGACAGGCGAGAATTTTGCAGAAAAACATACAAGGACGGACGGTGGTCCTGGCCATGAGTCCGACAGCTCTGGCAGCGGGCAAAAAACTCTGGCTATACGGCCCTGCATATATTACGCAGTACGCAGTGGGCCGAAATTTCCAGATGTCAACAGTCAACATATCGAAAAATTAAATACTTATATGGATTTAGTGTTAATCTATTTAAACTCAGCCAATTAATAATTTTTATAATAATACATGTCATGTCGGTCTACTCCCGAGTTCACCGTTGAAAGCCTCTATTTTCATTTGCAAGCATAATAAATGCACCTCGACATGCTTTATAACAGAAGAAATTTGAACATCTGGTGCTCTTAAAAACAAATACAAATACATATTATTACTATTAACTAGATTTGGGTAATCGGCGCTACGCGCCGATGTACCATCTCCAGCTGGCAGCTTCGCTGCCAAATGGGGGCTTCGCCGCCCACTGTGGGCGGCTTCGCCGCCACATGCGTATATATGTATTGGAGGCGAAAAGGTAGGTCAATCTTTTGGCGATTTGGGAAATTAGTGGCGGTTATGATGGAGAACATCGTGGCGATTCGAACGATAGGTCTGCGGTTCTTATAGCTCTCTCCGATTTATTCCCCTTTTTTCTAAATTTTCGATTTTTTTTACTTTTTTTGGGACACCCTATATTAGTGTTGATATCTGGTAAATAGGATCCCGCTGAATCCAATAGTACCACTGCGGTTTCGCTAGCTGCTACTGTTCGCGAGTTATTCAAATTTAAAGAAAACATTTTGTACATAAAACATTTTGCAAAGATCTACTCCTACGAAAAAGAACAGATTTCTTAATCCAAAAAATACCCACCGTTTGTAGTTGAAATTAAAAAAAATGTAACAGTTTTTTGCGCGCCCCTGTATATATTTGTATTTTTTTAATTTTTTGGCAAAGCCCTGTATACAAAGAACTTAACCTTTCTCTACTAAAATAAAAAACGATTTCCTTGAAATCCAAAGCATTTAAAAAACGTACCCGTTTTACGGAGTACCCCTGTATAAAAAGTGTAATATGCAGTACATAATATATATTGGTTCGGTACATTTATATCGCCCTGTGCTAAAAGAGGAACTTTAAAGTCGATCGGTTGTGGAAAAGAGATTTTTTTCGGACGAACTGTATAAATGTCTATATATACTTTGGGTACCTGAAAACATCCATTTTCTTTAAAAAAAAGAATCAATTTTCTCCAAATTGAGGTTTTTAAAAAATGTAACAGTTTTGGAAGTACCCTGTACATATAAACGACGAAATTTGCAGTTATTTTCATAAATCTATCTGTTTTTTCTTGAGTACTCTGTATATAATGGAAAGAATTTGATACGAATTTAAAACCGAAGACGTAAATTTATTTACGTAGATTGGTGATCCAATAAACGCGATACAAAAGGAATGCCGCTATCGTAAACCTACCCTTAGGTGCACGATGACGTCGTTTACGTTCACAGAACATAACGTCGGTGACAGCTAGAAATAAATGAACGTCAAATGTCTCGAAATGTATTTCGCATTGGCAGTACGAAATGATAGTATTATTTGCAGCAATAGAAATAAGAAATAAATCCTTCAAAAACTGAATACATAGGTATCTGCCAGTCAGAAGAAAAGGTAATGATAACTTTAAGTCATATGAAACTATTGACTAATAAATTTTTCTCTTTTTTAGCCGTTATACTGCCTACCAATTATTGCATTTTGTCGACAGAAACGGAGACGATTTTAGATTTTAATGTAACCTACCTAATATTTAAAATGAGGACGTACCATACCTTCCAATGCACCTAGATATTTGAGGTTTTATCCAATATTTAACCATGTAAGATGGTAAATCAGTTTAAATGTGAGGCACTCTACAGGTACTTAAAAAGTGTATAGAAAAACTACTGAAAACGCAAGCCAGTACTTAATTGGGAAATATTTAAAGACTGATGGATATCTGATCTATTTCAAACAATATAATATTTGGATAAGCTGGTACAGTAAATATACTTTTTAATGGAAAATGGAATGCATTACAGTGCAGCGAATGCTAGGTGCTTAGCTAGGTCACATTTTATGTGACAGCAGCCCCTTCGGATCGGCCCAAAATGGATTTCATATGTTATATTCCTTTTAAATATATTTTAGCTAATAGTGTTGAATAATGTAGGTAATAAAATTAATTAAAATGAATGGCGTTTCGATTTGAGTAATTTGCATTTTCTATGGTGGGTCATTGTCGATTATTTTTGTGTCCTAGGCTGGCTTTAACGCTGCATGGTGTACAGTGGATAGCTCCAAATGTCCCCCACTAACAATAAAGATGTAATGACTAAATAATAGAGTGTATTTTGTAAAACAGCCCAGTGGCTAGGATGAGAAGTATAATGAAATTTTACGGTAGGTACTTGAGAATGTCGTACAAAGACAGGGCGATCCGATGCCCCCTTTAGATAAACTAAATATACATTTTTGCTCAAAAACTGCTGTGATTTGTAGAGTAGGTGAAAATTATACTGATCAGTATACCAGGAACGTGTTTTTTAAATGAAATAGGTTTGGGAAATCGGCGTAACGCGCCGATGTACCACCTCCAGGAAGGCAGCTTCGTATAGCTTTCACCGAACATTTTTTTTTGCAATTTAGAGAACCGCTATCTATTTAAAAAACTGCAGTGGTTTGTAGAGTAGGTGAAAATAGGCCTAATTATATACTGATCTAATGCCAGGAACGTGTTTTTTTTAATGAAATTTTCATAAAATGAACTGATAGGTACCTGTAAACATATGTCAACAAATAGACTTGTAACTGCAAAACGGGCGGGCGTAGCTCCATGAGACCTTCAAGGTAGCGAGTAGGAGGTCCGAGGGGACGTTTTAGGGCTTCATTTATAGTCGGGCGTGTGAAGGAAGTGCTCCTACCGAGGCTCTGGGTATTGCACAAAACTTGAAAAATCGCGATTTTGGTCAATTTCAAACACTCGTCTTACTTCTACATGCACATGTTGAACTCGTAAAACGTATTACAAACAAAATATAGAGTTTGTGGATTCCATCGGTATACAGAACAATGTCGTAGCCAGTCTTATAAGTTCGCAATGGCCCTTTTCCGAATGGCATTTTCGGGTACATACTTAAATTCAGTTTGACAGGAGAAGTGTCAAATTAATTAATTTCTTTGACATACCGAAGGCCGAAATAAATTTCCTTTCTCGTTCCCGTTGTAGGCTGATAACTTTCTTAATATACGTCGTAGGGCTTTCGGGGTGGTATCAAAAATCGCGAAAAAAAATCGCAAAGACGACCTTCACGAAAAAAGCCGTCCGGCGAGTCTCCGTCGGAACGCTATCGCGACGGATGCGGAGATTTTTTCTGGCGCACTCTATAAGGCATAGCCTTCGTTTGTTTAGAGAGAGACGTTAGATGGACGGGGTCGATGCAGGGCTTCGCAAAAACGTTAATTTAGGTGTCTCGACGGCGAGCTGGGACAGCGGAAACACGCCTATGGTGCATTGAATCGACGGGGCTCGCCGAATCCGACCGCTCCGCGGTCGGATTCGGCTCGCGGAAAAAGCCTTCGTGGCGCTGCTTTTGCACATTTTCCGGCCTCGATTGAAGCAAGAGGGATGCTTTGACATAAACGGATTTTATTATTATTAATATTTTAAGTTTAAAATTGTTTTCTATTCTTAGTATTTATTTTATTTATTGACTAATTGGTCATATATGTTTCTATTTGATTTATTTGAGTAGATAAGCAAAGAGAGTTCTTGGGCGAAAGTGAGTTTGATGGTGTGCCCATCGAGAGAACTGTCGCTCAAGCTGAAGAGTTGTCATTTGTCGTCCGAGCTGTTCTTGCGCTTGCTGAAGAGGGGGATGGCACGTGTCCATCGGGTACTAAAGAAGTGGTAGTCAGTGACCAGTGTCGTGTGAAATAAATGCTGAGTAAATTTTTGTCTTAAGTCAGCATATAACTTCACAGTGTGAAGTTCACACTTATATTTTAGGTAAATTTGTTGGAGCGGCGGGATGAGGACTAAACAGTATGCGTGATAAGAATAGTGTGATATGATGGTGTAATTTTTGTGTATAAAAGTCAACAAGTCAACTATTTATATAATTGAAGTTTTTATCATTGGCGTTGCTTAAGGGGGATATATTTATTATTGGGCGTTTGAAGGTAGACATAGCCGTACATAAATTTAAAAAAATATTATTATAGGTATTGAAACTAGGATTTGAACCTGGATCTTTAGATTTTCAATCTAATGCTCTCCCATTGAGCTATTTCAATACAGATAATAGAATTACGTTTTTTAATGCTTAGTTAAGCAAACTTAAATGCCCTTTTACTAATTGTAGCCAGAGCTGTCAACTAATTCAATTAAAAGAATTGAAATAGTAATCGAATTCTTTTTGAGTAATTGAATTACTTTAATTGAATTACTTTTTTATTCTCCTTAAAATACTTGGTATTTGAATTACATTCATAAAAAGAATTGTAATTAGTAATTGTTTTTAGTAATTGAAGCTCTGAACAAATAATTCAATTCCTTTTGAGTAATTCAATTCCTATCAAGTACTTCAATTACCTAAAATCGCGGTTTTAGCGGCTCTGTCTAAATTTGTCTCAGCTTGTCAGTTGTCGCTTATTAGTATTCATGGATTATGGACATAGAAAACATGGTTTTCTATGATTATGGATTAGTTGTCCAGGGCGCTACGCTACGCTACAGAATAAATGCGAATGTAAGTGTTAGTAATAACAACATTTTTGCTTTAATTCTCAAAAGGTGTCTAAGCAAGATAAGTAAATATTAAATATAAATTTGGTCTTAACTATTTTTTAAACGAATCAATATTATTATGTTATGTTAGATTGTTATACAGAGTAGCCAAATGTATAATAGCAGGACTTCATCAAACAATAGTTAACGTTAAAATAATAACAGTTTCTCAATACACATATTATATGGAAAAGCTTCGTTTTTGAGATACAGGGTGTTGAGATTTCGTAAAATCTATTAAAAATATATTATTTTGAATATAGCCAACATGGCTGCTTAGAAAAATTTGAAATTCAGCACACAGTTTGAGCTAAGGATCCTGCATGATTTCAACGTATGATGATAAATTACGAGAACCAGCGGCGGAGATATATGGGTTTGTAATCACCCCTTTTCGAAAAAAATCTTTTACGCCACTAACTTTATTGCAAATTTAATAACATTTTCCAATGCATCATGCTTTTTAGAACACAAAAGTTTTCTTTATTTTTTTTTCATATAGCGCATTGTTTTCGAGATATTTGACGTTTTGTTAGGCAATGTTAGGTCATTTACATGCAAAATTAATTTAAATTTTACGAAATAGACTGTGGCTAAGTTTTGACGTTTTCGTCAATATAGTACTTCCTTTAAGTTTCACTAAGTTTCATTTTTTTCTAAGCAGCCGTTTTGGCAATACTCAAAATAATGTACTTTTTTCAACACCCTGTATCTTAAAAACGAAACTTTTCCGGATATAAGTGTATTGCATGAAAAACTGCCATTATTTTAACGTTATCTATTATTTGATAAAGTCCTGCTATTATATAAATTGGACCACCCTGTATATCTTTCATATGGGAAGCTATCCGATGCCCACTTTGAGCAGCAAGCTAATTCTATTAAATATAGTAAAAGATTTTTTATTTATAAAATACTACTTTGTCCATGTACAGATTATCCTGTTAAATAAAACATTCTATTTTACAACTGTTATAATATGTAGATACTCTTTATTGATAATGAATAATTAATATTTCAGTAAATATATTATTACCTCCTATCTGATGGAATTATTTGTTTTATTTACTATTATAGTCAGTTTATTTTTGGTAATTCAATTACATTCACAGTAATTGAAATTAATAGAGTAATTGAAGTAGAAGTTAAAGTAATTGAATTCCTTTACTTGAAAAAATCAATTACTATTGACGAGTAATTGATACTTGAAGTACTTTTAAAAATCAGAGGTAATTGGTAATGCAAGTATTATGTTCTTTGGGTAGTAATTGGTAATTGGTGCTTCAATTACTTTTAATGGGTAATTGTGACAGCTCTGATTGTAGCCACATATAACATTCTTACAGTCACTCAAATTTTCATTACTTAAATTGTATTATCAAATTTTATAATATAATAAATAATACAATACACTTCTTCCAAACTTCTATGCTCGAGAGTTTGAACTCTAATGCTGCACTATAAACTTATGTTGAACATTTATGAATAATTGTTTTACTTTTTCAATGTTTTGTGTTTGATCTACTGAGCCAATGAAACGTAAAAAAAAATTATTATATAATAAATAAATAGAAATATCTGCTTTCAAGTGTATTGTTTTATTGAAAAAAAAATGCGTGATTTTCAACAAAAAAAGCGAATTTTAAATTTCTTTCTACAAATAAAATGCATTTCAGCATTTATACATAGGTACTTACTAGAGCTTCATTTTGTGTGAGGATCCCTCTTAAAAGTCTTTAAAATGCATAAGAATTTACTTACATGTGCTTATAAAATTATCATTAAAAAGACTTTTTAAAAAATTTTTGATAACCTGAAAAAGTTAATTTTATTTTTTTACGGCTTTATTTTTCATTCTCATAAAATCCCCGTCAAATTTTTTTTTGTAATTCTAAAACTTGGAAAGATTTTCGAGGTAAAAAGTAAATTTCATTTTTAAGCTTTATTTTGCTCCAATGTTTCAAATCATTCAAGATTTCCGGACGGTTGTGGAATACTTTGATTTAACATATCCCCATAGAAATCTAAAGCCGACAAATCCGGGGCTCCTGCTGGCCAAGGCTGATCTCCCTGAGATAGATGACCTGGAAATATTTCTTGCAAAACATTCATAAAGATTTGACACGTGAGTAAACCAGATACCAAAAACTTGTTAACACATACGAGTATGTGTTATCAGATTTGTGTGAAGACTTAAAGTTATTTACCTGATAAAAACTAAGCCCTGATTTATAAATCCAGTTTTGACAGTATTCATTCTCTTGAAAAAAAAAATTCATTATTACAGTGGGCTGTAATTTCGAGCAAACAACTGCTTCTCCCAATTTTACAGATTTTACGAGTTTCAGTTGATCTCTCTTCGTAACAATTATTGTACTCTTGTCCTTAATTTCGAGTGTTCCACTAATAGAATAATACTTTACCATATTCCCTACAGATGACTTGGCTATATTTAATTCATCAGTAATTTTTTTACAGAATATTCCCTCAAGATATCAGGAAATTATGCTACCTGTCACTAAAAACTTAAGAAAGTAAATGTCATCACAGTTTGTTTTGAATTTAGGAGTCTACTTACCTTATTTGCACGCCGTCCGAAGATATAGTTGTTAGCATTTAATGTGTTCATTTTTATGGGTTGCTATTCGCGACTCCAGACATAAATTCGCCCTTTGGTGACAAAAATTTTAAACGACTTTTGAAAGTAAATATTGTAAATGGCCCTTAACAAAATAATGTGCTAAGATAGCAATTTTATCGTTTTGTGTATTAAATAATCGTTTTTGTGCTGTGGCAAGTTATATTATATTGTTTTACCTTTCATTAGTTTCATTTCACACCAGTTGTTTGCAGGCAGAATGCCAGAATATCCACAGATACTTTCGTTAAAAAACTTGGATTTAAAAATGCCTCTCTTTAAATTACAGCCCTACTTATTCTATACTAGTTTAAAGGTAAGAAATTGGTCCTAGTGTAAGAAAGTGTTCTCGTTGATTCTCGCTTTATGCTAAGCTAAAAAAAAATCAGTGATATAAGAATGCAACTGGACCTAATTTTCTTACCTGGAAAAGTATGTAAAGTGAAGTTAAATAAATAATTGTCTCTAATTAACGGTAATTAGCCCAAGGAAGGGAACAAGTATGTGATACGAAAAGTAATTTGGGCAAGTACAGTGATAAGTTACATAATAATATAAACAAAAATGTATGAATAAATTAATGTTGGATCAAAACGTAAAACAAATAAATTGACTTCCTAAAAACTACCAAGACTTAAGACAAGTACTGAAAAGTTGCAAGAAAAATTACAAAAATAAGACAAAACCGATAAAAATCATCAATATCAACCACTAGTGAAACAGAAAGAGCGTCAATAGAGAGTAAGTGATAAATAAAAATAAAAGAGAAGTGGCAACATAGGCACAGGAGAGAATGAATAAGCCATGTCCACAACGCTGAAGAAAAAAATAAAAAGTACTGGATTATCATAAAGGTTAAGGATACTGCATCTGTTGAGAAAATTAGACTATTTAAAAAGTTAAATTAAATACTGAGATAAAGGAGATAAATTAATGTCAAATGGTGAGATAGGTAAAGTTTGCGAACACATTTAAGATAAATGGAGTGGGCAGCATGATGGAAAGTAAAAAATAATAAAGAGGATTTTCGATTGTTATAAAAGCAGAGATAACAAAAAATACTGGGACAAGATTAAAAAAAAAAGTTAATTTGATGTGTATTACACAAATTGTCAAAATGCTTAAAGCCTTTTAAAGGATAAAGAATAGCTTAAACACCATTTTAACTTTTGTCTAACAATAAACAATAAGATATATGTTTACGTTGAATGTAGATGTTATTTACTGCCATAATATGTGGATGACATATATCGTGGAATTGGCTAATATGTGTATCTGTCTGATCATACCAGACTCTCCCCTAAATTATTTCACATATGTACAATAAAACGAAAACAAGGAGCCCAGGAAAAGTTGACAAAGTTTCAACTTTTACGTTCTCAATGTCTTACCAAAACCAAGAGGGAATCTGTAATACCACGAGCGAATAATTTTAAATCCATGCTGTAATAATTGGGGTGTATATAAAATAAACTTAAAAAAATATTTACCCTGTTCCATTTATTGTACATATTTTCATAATAATTGAGAAGCTCTACAAAACATATTTTTATAATCCTCAAGGAATAAAAGTTGATAGGTGACACGCTAGTACAATTACAGAAATATTAGTAATAATCAGTAAGCTTAAATGAATTACCAGTACTTGACTACTGGGTTACTAATGCCCTCTAAATAGCTCACAATTATATAGCCAAAATAAAAAAAGAAATTGTATATTTACATAATTACACTATATATACATCACAACAGAAAAATTAAATACACACTTAAAACTAATCAGACTGCCTTAACAATTTGGTTGACATCATTTTCTTCATTATTTTTCCCTCTGGTAGCTTGGTAGGCATCACGCTCTTTATCAGGATG